ATAATTTACTTAAAAAAAAAAAACAATAAAACAACCCAGTTTTATTATAATCTATAAATATAGGAACCCTATTAGAGAAAAATAGTTTTATCTATTGTTGTTTATATACATACAATACACAGAGGAGATTTAACATTACATATTATATAATTAAATAAATCATCCAAAAGACCATATCTTAGATTTAGTTTAGTAGCGCACTTTTGTAAAGTTGAAATCCCCAGCATGGAATACTTTAGAGTCTGAGGTAAAGATAGCACCTTTTACTCAAATATCTTATTAGTCTTGTTTTTGTGTTTAGTGCTTGCAAGAAACCATATCTGCTTTTAATTGTAAATAATACTCTAAAATCTTACCATTAGGGGGCGTCCATTAATTACGTGAGGTATTTTTGAGGATTTTTTGACCCCCTCTCCCCCCCTGGTGTGATTTCGTAAGATTTTCCTCAACTCCCTCCCCCTCCCCTAATCTCTCGTGAGATTTTTCAAAATTTGTGTTTTGGGAGTAAATGCGTTGGATTATTAAAAAAACAAAACACAATATGTTTTATTACTTTTATTTAAGACTAAAAATTTCTAGAAACATTCTTTACTTTAATTTAATTTTCACACCGTTTTCTACTAGAAAAAAAATACGTCAGATTTACAAAGACCCAAGTGAGATTTGGAAAGATTTAGCTTGATCCCCCCCCCCCCCCTTGAACACCTCACGTAATTAATGGACGCCCCCTTAGCCTTTAATTTCAGTTTTGGCTCAGTGGCTTTATTTCTTCTATGATTTTTGTCAGATTTTTGTGTGTAAAAAATAAAAATAGTTTGCCAACAGCAACACTATGACTCGCACCAGGCTTGCCACAATTTCAAAATTTCACGGAATATAAAAAACAAAGTGTGATCTGAATTCAGCTCGGAGGCGGTACCCTAATCCAAAATGTTTAAAATAAACCATTCACATAATAATATTTCTCTTTATAATTCAAATAAAAAGTAATTCATTTGAAATTTGATGAAAATCATTACCCGATTTTTCCATGCTGTTTTGTAGCTTATTTTTCAAAAAATCAAATTATCGATTTCATACACAAGTATATAGTCCAAAAATAAAAATATAAATACCACTGAATATTAATAAAATATTAGATTTTTTAAAAAACCATATGTACTACTAATGCAGCAGAATATTTTTTGTCAGTCGATTTTTCATTCCGTGACGTCACACCCTTTCTTAGCAACGAAAGAAGAGGCCAACGTGTTGTTTACGAACCGTGGGTGACGACAATGTATGTCCTAATTGACATATTAGAATGAAATAGCGTGTATTAAACAATGAAGTGGAGAGGGGTAGAATGATATAACTGTCAATGAAAAAGTCTACACACTATGCACAATTTCGTTTTGCACATTTTGTAAACAAGATTCAGGGACGGTTTAACAACATTTTGTGCAACAATTATAAAATAGTGCATCGGAAAATAATTAACAAGCATAATTTAATACTAAACTGAAATAAAAGCACAAAAAATCATAAATATACGCAAGATAACAAAGAATTGACGCCAAAGAAGCTTACAACAGCCACAAAACAAACAAAAAACAGAGCTGAACATGAACACCCAGGCAGCAGACTGACGTCAATGTGACATCTTATTTTCGTCATACAGGACGTCATTTATCCTTTGAAAACTAACGTGATAATGACGGTAAAATGACGTGAATATGTCACAGCCCAAATGACGTCATATTTAGACGTCCTTTTCACGTCTAAATATGACGTGTTTATGACTTTTCCTACTAGTCTTTATAACGTCATTATGACGTTTTTATAACGTTGTTTTAATGTCACCTTTGTTGTTATTTGAGACGTCACCATGGCGTTACATTTGATTGTTACTCCTTTGTAACTTTTCTATAGGAATTGTGGGTCACTTAGGGTCGATTCCACCATTGTGTTAAACGGAGATTAAAATGACATTGTTAATGTAAAAATGTCATTTTAAACTTCGTTTAACACAACGGTGGAATCGATCCTTAATAAAACAAAATTAGAAAATAAAATAATTATAATTAAAAAGAAAAAAAACAGTTTAAATACATGAAATGTTATTGGCAAAAAACTTTAATTTATATAAATACAACTGCTCCAAATGTGGCCAACTTGTTGGTTATTGTTTTGGCTTTGGCACAATTATTATGAAGACTACGGGCACACTTAATTTCTAATGATTTTTTTATGAGTGCCGCCATTTTATACTATTTCACGAACCTGGGAACATTTTATGAAACATCCTATGAATGTAAAAGATATAAAATCATTAAAGAATAAGGAAAATATAGATATAAAAATACCTTATGCTGGGTTGATACTGATATAACTTTTTTCACTGACCATCTCTTAACTTTTAACAACAATCCTGAATGCACACGGGCAACGATCCACGATGCACACACCATTACACATGGCCGATACAACATTCTGCGATACCGTTCTCGAGCTTGCTCGAATGGCTCGAACACACACGAACCATACTCCACAGACCGATAACCACAGACAGACGCAGTCATGTGTCACGTGGTGTCATACAATCTTTATGCATTTTAAGCCCCAGATTTAAGCGATAATAGGCCTAAGAGTTTTAAAAAACAATTGTTTAGGCCATATAATTTTACATAAATAAAATGTATTAAAATCACGTTTAATATAAACCTTAATTTAATAGTGACAATAAATTGACGTCACACTAACGTCGAATTTGTGACGTCAAAAAGACGTTAAAGAAGTAACGTCATAATCACTTCATTTTTTGGTAACATGACGTCGATGACCAAGAATTACCAAAAAATGTCGTCAAAATGTCGTCAGTCTGCTGCCTGGGCATAAGCGCTGAACAAAGCCAATCCTGGAATTTGTGTACAGTGCTTTAGGGCAATCTCTCCTTGTCATTTACATGTATAAGAGTGGAAGGTTGAATCACGCATAATTTCTACACTCGTGACGGATGCGCAGACGGTACCTTATCGTTCTACCCTCTCTACTTCTTTGGTATTAAAAGAGCGCCTGAATAAAATAGCTGTCAAAATAGCGTCATTGAAAACAACACTCGAACGAAATAGTGCTTTTTAAAATAACATCAGTCAAAAAAGGGTCAAAAAATTTAACAAAATGATTAATTCAGTTTAGTCAGTTACTGTTAGTTTTTTTTTAAACTAATTTACCTAACCTGTGCGGCCTGGAGTCATCGAGGGTTGATTCGCAAAAAATATACATCAAATTAGAAAATTTACAAAAACTTAACTAATTTTCCTAACCTATGCGGGAGCGATCGTTTAATTTTAAATGGCGCCGGGACTACCAGGCCGCAGAAGTTAAATGAATTAGTTATGTTATTTTTTAATCAATTTATGTAAAAACAATAGCGCTATTTTAAAACTAGCTATTTCGGACTGATGCTCTGTTTCAGAACTCGCTATTTCAAAAGGCGCTGTTTTGACTGTTGCTCTTTTGATACGCGTTATTTTGTTCAGGCGCTCTTTTGATACGTACTATTTTGAGTACGCGTTATTTCATTTAGCGCTATTTTGTTCAGGCGCTCAAAAAATAGCGCTATTTTGACAAGCGCTCTTTCGTGACAGAGCCGGAGTAAAGTCAGAATCTGTTTTTCTTAATATCGATACAGTTTTAAAAATTTACAAATCAATGGGACTAAATATTTAGTTAAATATCCATTACCCCACCCCACACGCTATAATATGAATTTCTAAGTTTTTGTTGGATTTAATGTGATTTTAATAAAAGTTTGCAAAATTTTCGTATTCCATATTTTAGTACATATTTTTAGTTTTGTAAAAAATATAGCATATATAGGTGACGTTAAGCGGTATAATTGTAAATCCGCTTCTGGTGAAGTGGTTCTTTTCTATGCTTGTTTTAAAAAATAGATTTTATGCACTTTTGCATTTTTTTTGCCACGTATATTATTTCAATATAGTACCTAAAACTGTAACATATCCAGTTTTAATATTATTTATTGTAAGACTAAATAAGGCCGTAACAAAATAATGAACGGGAAGAATAAGAATATATGATGATGTATTTTAAAGTGTGCAAGAATGCAAGCATCTACTAATAGGTAATATATATACCTAGTGTTAGGTGGGTACTAAAAATATCGAATCGAACCATTATAAGAACAGGGTATGGTCTATGACAGTGTTTCTCAAAGTGTGCTCCGCGGAGCCTCTGGGGCTCCAAAAAGCCTTTGTGGGGGCTTCGCGAAGAAAATAATAGTCATAATAAAAAAAGGTGAAGCAGTACTATCGCCACAAAAGGCAGAAGGACCTGGCTTGAAGCCCTATTTTTTTTTAAGAAATGTGTTTAGGACTTCGTCAAATAGGTATTTCGCTTTTTCAAAAAGGTTCCGTCGCCAAAAAAGTTTTTGGGAAACACATTTCTACGATAAGAACCTAGCTAATGAACAAAGAAAAAACATGGACCGACCTCCCCCAGAAATGTACGTCCATGTGTTGCTTATACCTACTTATACTTTTATCTGCCGTAGAGGGTAGATACCTATAGTTGTTATAAATGGCCATAAAGTAACTTAAAAATAAACATATTGCATATAATCGGAGAATGTTTATCAACGTGTTACTGGATACTGTATTATCTTATAAAATAGTACTACGTTTATAGAATATCTGAGTTACGTGCTAACCGTGGTCAACTTGACCACAGATAATGTTTTATCCATTACGACAATAAAGAATAATGCCTTTACTAAAAATGTCTAAACGCGTCTGTCCATCTCATCCATAGATATAGGATACAGAATTTCTCATCTCACCTAACTTTTCAATTGAAATGCAAATTTTAAAACTTAAAGTGGCTGTAGAATGATAAAAAAAACGTGTCTGAGAATATCGATGTGGAATAGAAAGGGCGATCCAATATTCAAATGTTCGCGGGCAATGACATGCGGCAGAGGGCGGCGTCAGTCAATCAATCACATCACAAGCGTAATGATAAAATGGAGTCTCATTTCTCTGAACAGTTTGTACACAAATTCTAATTAGTTTTATGTATATAATCAGTATTAGGCGAAACAATAAGTAACGTTAAGTGGAATCGGATGAAATTAGGGTGATTGTAGAATCGGGAAAAGTGAGGAAACAGTGTAAAAAGTGAAAATCGGATTGCAGATCATCAGCGAACGTACACACACGATCAACGGTGTCCATGGTAAGTTGTTTTGTGCTTCAATGTGATTTTCACGAAACCGCATGCATTTGTTTATGAAAAAGTTGAGAAAGGCCGTCGACCCGTTTATGTTTTTGTGAAAAATCGGGATGTTTTGAATAAATTGTCACAACCCTAAATTGCTATTGGTTCTTCGAAAATCAACATTTCTTAACAAGATATCACCTGATTGGTTGTGTTTCGACAACTAAATACCGAATCGTATTATTCTAACCAATTAAGTAGTCTCTTTTCACTCATTATGGCTAGTGTAAGTGCATGTATGTGTTCTAAATAGCGTTGTGGAATAAAAAGAAGTTGGAAAATATCTCAGGTGAAGAAGCATGAAAAATCTCAGGTGAGTCGGCGTTTTCTCAGGAGACGGGCATTTTGTGTCGGCGCTAAAACAATAGTCACAGTGTTGACCTTTGATAGATACCGCAATGTCGCTAATTCCGATTCAGACCCAAGCGCTCGGTGGACATCTCTAAATGGCGGTCGGAAGGTTCATTGTTCTCTACGCCGGTTAGATTGATAAGTCGCCCGTCGCTGGGCGATTTCTTATCATCGGAGCGCGCCATCGCTAAGCAAAAAGAGAAAAACAATCAACCCGTCATCCACCGACTGCCAAAGGGCCATTTCCAATATTCCGATACCCTCCTCCCTCGCCTTTATTCCCGTCTAGGCCCTTCTAATCAATTTTATAATTACCTTGCATCTTCTCTTTCTGTTGCAATTACCTGATCGAAGTCGACCATAAATTAAATATACGTAAATATGAGTCGATTTTAAAATATTACGTATTGTTTCCGATTTCGTGTACGATTTTATTTAGGTCGCATATTTTATCGATTTTAATTAGATATGATTATCGTTTCTTTTTGTTTGTAATTAAACAGTTTCGATTTGTGTGTTTTGTCTCTTTCGCTCGTCAATGATTAGACCCGGGGGGTGAAAAGTTGTACAGCTCATGGTTTTTTAGTACGCATAAGCGTATAGCTTTTCCCCTTTGGTTTTGATCGCATCTTCACTTCATGGATTTGGGAATATTCTTGCGAAATGTTTGATTGCATTGAGATCGTTTCTCGGTATGTTTGCATGCTTTTATACTTTTGAACGTTTATAATGTAATTAAATATTAGGGACATGTCAATGATATGTACTTTAATCGTTTTGATAATTATTATTGGTGGTATTTGTTGCAACCATATTGTTTTATGTCATGTTTATTTTATTGTTCTCTAATTAAGATTATGACACACCTTTATTTAGATACATTTTAGTTTATATATTTTTTAAATTTATTCTAATTAATCTAATGTAATAAATGTGGAGAATTGCTTCATCTTTACAAAATGTTAAAATTGTAGATAAATACCTACCTGGATAATAAGTACCTACTTGTAACTGGATTTTTACATATTAGATTTACTTAATGGTGCATTTGCACATTTAATGAATAGGTAAAGTAATCAAATAATGTTTATTCATAATCTAAAAGGAAGATGTTTTGTTTTTTCTTGCATCAACTTTAACATTTTCATCTAAATAATTTGTTTTAAAACATTAAACTACAATAATGATACCTAGTTTTGCTATACCTAGGTACTAATTAATATATTTTGGTAATTTTACATATTACATTAGTGGTAGGAAGTTTAATATCTCTATCATAAGAAATATGAAAAAATGTTTTGAATAAAAGTTATAGTTTTTACTTTTGCATATTTCTAAAATACTGTGAAATTTACAGTGTATTCCGTTACATCGAGACATCTTAAATTTCTGTTTTTAATTGACTTGTAAAGAATGGTAAATATTTCATGACATAAAAATATGGGGTCCTTCCTGCTATACGAAGGTACGAATTTTGCAAAACTTTTCTAATCACTCAAAAGGTACTAGTTTTTAAAGAAAATTTACAGATAAATCAGTACTTTTCGAAAAAAATCTAAATAAAAAATAATTTTACAGGTTATATTCACAAAACATTTATTCTAAATAACAGATTCCACAAGACTCCCTCTTGAAAATAACAACGGTGCCAAGTTGTTAACTAAATTGTAAGTTTCAGGACCATTTATGATCTATAAATAAGTAAGAGCTCATACAGTACAAACACATTTCAGAAATATTTCAACAATGTTACATTGAAACATTTGCAATGTTGTATAAATATTACGAAACATTTCTGAAATATGCCTGAAACGTAAAAATGTCCTCTAAATATAATATTTCACAGCAGTGGCGGCTCGTGGCCAAATTTTGGGGGTTCACAGCGACAATATAGATGTCAGTACAGATATATCTGTACCGACATCTATACTCTGCTACTGTGAACCCCCAAAATTTTGGTCACAAGCCGCCTCTGTTTCACAGTAATATTTCTGAAGTGAAAATTAGAAATCTTTTAGAAATATTAAATAGTAATATTTCAGAAATGTGTTCTAGTTTTTTTTTTCTATCATTAGACTAAAAAAATACATTTAAAAATATACCTGTTTATTTAAAATACACAAAATTCAAACATTGATTCTTAAACAAATAAATAAATATGTTTTAAAGAATATTTCATAAAATATGAAAGTGAATTGCTTCATTTTCACCAATTCCTTTAAATGCACTAATTTGAAACAATTAGGTTTTTTTTTTTTAATAAATGCTCCAAGTAAAGAAACATTTGCGATTATTATAATCTAATCATTAAGATCAATTAGCAATTTTATTTTTATCTAACTTATCTAGGGATGAAAAACTTCATAAACTAAGATTCTACTCCCTATATATAGTGTACTTTAGAGTCTTAATTATTTAGTTACACTACCGTCAACGTATAACACTTAACTGCACTATACTCTATTTTAATGTAACATCACTGAACTAACTCAAAAGGCTTGGTTCTCTTGAGTCTTCTTATTAGATTGGCATTGTTGAGGAGCTGGATAATCTCAAGGTTTCCATGTTGGAGCAGTCGTTGTTGGTGACTACTGGTAAATTTTTATATTGTATTTTCAACAGTCTCACCTTAAGATCCCTTTGAAGATCAGTATTACGACCGTACCATGATGCATCAACGATGTTCCTTAATACTTTATTCTGGAAACATTGAATAACTTGGATGTTATTTTTACTGGCACAGCCCCAAAGCTGGCAAATTACTTCATTTCCACCAGTTCCTTTAAAGACACTAATCTGAAACAAAATATAGGTAATTAAAAAGGATTTATACAAATTATTCGATTAACAATAGTTTTATTAATATTGTTTTAAATTAACTATAATAAAACAATACTCATGTCTAAAAATGAAGATCCACCTAAGCAAGCATTATTTATGTAGTTTTCACCTTAATTTCTAAAGACATATTCTCCTTCCCATATAACAAGTTCACATCGCATATGAATATCAAAAACCAACAACTCAAATCTATAATTATTTAGAATATAGGCTTGTTTCTAGCTGGTGGCTGGACAGGGACATGATAAAATGAAATAACTAGATAACTACATATCCCATCTTCTTTTAAATCAGAAATTCTTCATTAATTGTTGGCCTTTTACAACATAAATATTTAACTAAAATATTTCAGAAATATTTCAAAAACTTGTGCTTGAAATGTTATGTTTGAAACTTTTGAAATATTTTGTGCTGTATGGGAGATATAGAAAACGCAAAAAAATTTAGAAATATCAAGAATAAAAAAAATATTATTTTCTTCATCCAGTAGAATATAAGTGGTGCCCTCTTTGTCTAATCTTAAAATTGATAACATGCTTGATTTACTAGTCCAAAAATATAAACTATACCTACTAAATTTCAGGTCAATGCATTAAATAACCAATATATGGCAAAAAATTAAAAATAAGTTTTAACTTTTAACACCCTGTATCTCAGATCCAGTGTTTTGAGGTCCTGGACCCATGATTAAAATATTTACCATTCCTTATGAAACACCCTTATTAAAATATCACGTTTGAAGTTGTTTTTTTTTTAATTCTGCGACATCAACTTATGGCAAAAAATGGGAACAAATACTGAAAAATTGTTAATGGGTAAAATATTTGATAATTAGAAGGATGTTAGCTGAAAGGGGGAGATGATCAAAAGTTTATTTTTATGTACAGGCGATTTTAACTTACTACTAATCTTTGAAAATCCAAATTTTCGTTTTTTGTTTTTTTTTCAATCATGATTTTTTTGATACGACGGATTTTTTAAACTTTTGAGTCCCCTGAATCTGTTTTGACTATTTTTGCGATGATGTCTATGTGTGTGTGTCTGTATACTCGATAACTAGTATGAATACAGAGAAAAACACCAAATTTTAAACTTATGCTAACTTCTGGTCTGCCTGGGTGGGTAGTTTTTCTACTTTATGGAATATAACAGATATTTACGCTTGGAGAAGAAATTTCTTCAAATAAAAGTTGCTTGTAATGTTATTCTCTATAATTTTTGTCATACATAATTTTCTTAATATCCGAGAAATTTGACAAAAGTGTAAAAATCAAATTTTTAAGAAAAATGTTCAAGTAAAAGTTTGCGATATAGATCTCTATAATTTTTGTTTTATACAAGATTTCTCTAAAATGGATCGTAATGGAAAAATTTGTGGAAAAGTGTAAATTTTTTATTTAATGTTAGATTCACATTTCATAGGTACCTCTCTACATTAACCCTATAATCATCAACTTCAGTATTTTGTATGATGCTAAATCAGATAAAGTACCTTCTACTGGACCTGAATATTAATTTTTTATACTAACCGAAAAATATTAATAACTTATAATGATGAAATCTAAATTGAAAAATATAAACTTTACATCAAATTAGCAAAATAAGTTAGTTATAGTATAATAGTCAAAATCAAATCAAAATTTTTCATGCTATTGTTACAAAATGCAACTTACATAAGTAAGATAAAATTAAATCCAGGAATACCGAAATATAGAGGATATACCTAAAATGCTAAGATAAAAATATAAAAAATATCTAATTATAAA